TGGCAGGGAAAGAGTTAAAAAATAGTTCAATCGAATGGCCGTTTTGGTCCACTTTCTCACCTGTGCTGCTCCACATCATGAGGCTGAGCTTCTCTCCCAACAGGTAAAGAGGAGCCATGGAGAGCGACGCGCCTCCGAGGAAAACACACAATCCCACGGGACTCAAGTGAGCCATGATAGGATACACCCAAATCCCTGACGCATGGTGCACCCACAGCACCCTAGTGAGAGACAGACGCATGAACCAGAGAGAACAGAACAAAACTAAACTTTGCTTAGGTCTGTGTGAAGCATGCAAGCAGACGAGATTACCACGACAGATACAGGGCAGCAAATAAAGCCAGACTGAAAATGCCTTTAGTGCGACTGGGATATCTGTGATTCTGAAGGAACATCTGCAGCAGCAGCAGCGGCATGATCACTGTGTGCTGGGGAAAAACACAACACAAATCCTGAACTACTGCAGTACATGAGAGCTGGATTAATGCTGCGCAGGTCACAAAGGTCAGCCAATACTGCAGTACATAACTCTAAAACAATGCACTCACCATTGCATGATTCAGCCAGATGGGAATGATCTCGTCTAACAGTTTTGGATACACCAGCTCTCTGTCGTAAGTGTAGAGAGTCCAGAAAGAAACGAACACAAACTGCAGGCAAGAAGATCAGGATCGAAAACATCAATACATTCAAAGTTCACATTAGTAGTCGACCAATAAAGGTTTTTTAATAACCACTGATGATAACAATATCAAGAGAGCAGGCTGTCCATCGTCCGATATAAATAATACACAAAATTATTGAAACGGACACTTATTTTACACTATATATATATTCACAAAAAAATACAAAATAAAAGTAATAATAAAAGACAACATGCATCGGCATCAAACAAACCACTTTTGTTGAACAGGCAAAGTTATCAGTTAATTAATGAGCCCGATATCAATCCATTAATAGCTTATACTTTTATACATTCATATCCACTTATTGAACCTAAAACCCTGATGAAAAAATAATTAACGCCCATGATATTTATCAGTCAGTCACATACTATACAACCACTTTCAAAACTACAAAAACTGTAACCTCAAATAATTCTAAGAATGCATGGGAAATTCTACAATACTGGGAAATTCTATAAAACTGGGAAATTCTATAAAGCCTAAAAAAGTTGCACAACTATCATAAATGCTCTAATGATTTTTTTTAGCAATCTGTTTTAATATTAACAGTATGCATTTAGTCTTGCCAAAAATACTGTGACATCATTTGGACAGTCATGCTCAAAAAATAGCAATATGTTAAATGAATTATTTCGCATAATTAAATAAATTAACCAATAATAAAATCTGTAGTTTACTCAAACACATAAAAATTTGAAAGAGAACTTAAACTTTTAGCTAATTTTCAGTGAATAATGACTTACGAAATATAATATATGAAATAAAGGGTTCAGATGATACTTAAACAGACTTTTGTGTCGTCATATTGGAGCTGGACAGCCCCAGTTCTCATTGACTTTAACTGTAATAAAAAGAGAGACCGGGTATTCTTTAGAAACCCATCCTGTGTTCAATATCATAAAGGTTTGAAACAACATGAGAGTGAGAGTATAAGAGAGACTTGTCAGTTTTAGGTGAATAGGTAAGTCAGGGCTCTAGACTGCCACCAAATAGTTGATTTGAAACGATGGATGGGTTTCAAGCTAGAGTAAAGTAAAAGACCGCTTCTTAAACCAGAGAAGGTGAATCATGTGGGGGGGGAAACATGCAAGCACTGTCACCGACAGCAAGTTTAGTTTTACTTTTCTTTTTGAAAAGCTTGTTATCTTTGCTGTTTACCTCACGTTATGCGAAGCTCTCTTTTATTTATGTATTTGATTTCTCAGTGTTTGCTAAACGGTCTGTAATTTATTAGTCGATATATAATACAGCATGTGGTGTGTGCCATGCCTCGTCTTATTCGTTTTTGTTAATAAACGTTTTGTAAGCTAGTTTGTTAATGTATCTTACGGTTTTATTGTTGTTGTGCTTTAATTAAGAATAACAGTGAATCCATCTTTTGTTTTAGTCTTAAAAAGTGAAAGGTGTGTAGATGTATGTAAGCAAAACAGACAGTTATCTTTTCTTGTAAACGTGACAAGAGCACGAATTCGAAAGTGAAAGCACCCGAAGCCCGCGGCTTATAACGCAGCAAAAGCAGATCTCCCGATCACAAAACTCAATCACAAATAATACTGATGAAAAATAACGGGTTGAACGATTACCCCTTTCTTTCCATATAAACTACGATAAAAGTCCGGGGGGGGGTTTCTGGACTCCTTTTTAATGGTTAAATTAAATTTTATTAATCAAAAAGCATGTCTAATTAATTAAAATCATGAAACTTACATTTAACATCAATTTATTAAAAGTTTAACAAAAATTACATGTTTAGGGCCCTATGAAATGTTTTATTTTTCCAACCTTATGTTTTACTCTTACCAAATTCTGTGTTTTAGCACGTCTAATTATATGAAAGCATAAAAACAAGTTTAATTTATTCTTACAATAGCCTTGTGATTTTTTTCCTCAGAAATTCTGTGTTGTGTATTTAAATTTTTTTAAGGCATAAAACATTCATTTAATCTATCTTTTAAGTAATGAAAATTTTTAAAAAATTATTTTTTGGAAAATAAAGGTCATTTAATATTAAGAAATACATTAATAAATGATAATAATAATTAAAACATTAAGAAATATTGTATGATTATTCCTTAAAAATAAGGTTTTAATCATTTTAGTACTAGTAGTAGCCTATTACGTACATACTGAACAGTAGTAATATATTTCTGCTGCAATGCCCTCAAGTTAAACCGAACTTTTATTTTGACGGGTTGCTGTGAATACCTTTACATGTCTGTGTGTATGTGATATGATGATAGTTTTACTCAAATGAAACGGTCAAATGCTCATGAAGTGACTCTCAGAGCAGTTCTGGAGATGTTGTTCATGTATTTATGTCCTCATTTAGTGAGACGGCATGCCGTCGTGTAAATAAGTAAGATAACATAAGGCTATTTAGTTTGTTTAATAAAAGAACACGGTATAGACAAGTTCTATAGAAAAGGTAACTTTAAATTACTTCTGTTGTGATCTGGCGATATAGAGAAAATATAATTAAAGGGGTCATATGATGCGATTTCATTTTTTCCTTTCTCTTAAAATTAACTTGACCTTCAAGGGGGGCGGGGGGGCCGTTAAAATAATGGCAGGGGAAACACTGGAATAAAAAAAAAACATTGCGACCAACAGAGTGAGTTAGTAGCAAAAGAGCGAGCAGTGGGAAGAATGAGTCTGGAGCCCTGAGTGTATATTGAGTCGAAGTAAATATTTTAGGGGCTATTGTAAGTTCTGACATTTTCTGCGCTCATACAAGAAAACCCTAATTCGTTATAAAACCTGATTTGTCCTAACGTTACTCACGGTCCCGACGGGAAAGGCCAGCACGGTGAAGTGAAAGTCTCTGGCTCTCGTGACAGACACAGCGCTGTGCACCGCATCCGCCAGCACACACAAGCCGAACAACAGCGCCTGCGACACCTGCAACAGAACCAGGTGACACGCCTGATCCGAGCTGAGCGGTCACATTAGTGAAGGATTTCGTGGGAAGAGCTCCTACCAGATTAATAAACGTCAGATATTTCCAGCGTCCTCCGTATGATCGCACACCGGGGTGTCTGTCTGAGGTCTGCAGAGTACAGTTACTCCAGATAGCAAACACATACCAGCTCAAAATAAGCAGGTGAACCAGCAGGCTCGTCTTTGGTCCGAGTCTCGTGGCGGCCGCCATGCTGCACCGGCTCTGACGTCACCGGAAAAGACGGTTCTTCAGGAGCAGTTGTCATGCTAAAAAAAATGCAATTGCTATTGCCATTTATTTATTTATGTCTTTATTTATAATGTCACACCTCAAAACTGTGATTGGTGAGTAATGCAGCGTGTCTGTCAGCGAGTCCTAACCAGCTCGAGACTCTAGCAAACTGCACCATGATTCATTTGCTATTGCTGTAAGGTCCTTAACCAGATTCCTAATCATAGGATAGCTTTTCTTGTCATTTGTGAGCTTGATGGTCCCAGTCCTCCTTCATTATATAGAAGTATATCATCTAAAAAAAAGTTTCACAGAAGTAGGTATGGGTTTGTAATGACATGTGGGTGAGAAAATTGTGCAGAATTTACATGTTTGGGTGAACTATTACTTTATTAACAACCATAAAAAATAAATAAAATAAACAACTAAATATTCATAAGTGCTCAGTCAGTTCAGATTGGCAGGTTCAGTCTGTCTTTAAACCAAATACAGTTTTTTTCATTAGTTTTAATTAATCCTATTGTGACACAATTCAAATTAAAATGTAAAGTTTAGTTTTCGTTATATTGTGTCTTTTATTTCAGTTTTCATTTTCAAAGTCAACCTGTATGCAAATTCTGTGTTAATCAGTGGGCGGGGCTTATTGTTCACGTGACTAGCGGTCTGCGGGTGTAAGTATGGAGGCCCATTTCTGCCACAGTTGCGTTTAAAATATGATTCTGTCATAATAATGGGAACCTTTATCATATAATAATGCCTTATGATAAAGTTTCTCATTATAAGATATTTAGTCATTAATATGAGAACGTTTCTCATTATACAGACCTGACTTTTTACTCAACTTGAACAATAAGCCCCGCCCACTGATTAACACAGAATTTGCATACAGGTTGACTTTGAAAATGAAAACTGAAATAAAAGACACAATAAAACAAAAGCTAAACTTTACATTTTAATTTGAATTGTATCACTATTATTGCCTGAGCATTAATAAAAAGCTTTGTAAAAACTGTATTTGCATTTTCTTTGCAATCACGAGGCAAGACTGCCAATACTAAATTGAAAAGGCAAAAGTGGCAGTGAAAATTAAATGTCAAATCACCAACTGCATTTTATTTTTCAATTCGACAGGGACGATGTGTTGTCACAGTGAAAATGAAAATGAAAAATAAATCATTTCATTCATTTTCAATTTTGGCGCATATTTTGTGTACAGTTTTCTATAATGAAATTGTTCATCTGGTTTTCAATTCTTAATTGAATCGATTTATTTAAAATTGGCAGAAGATACCTTCCATATCTGGTTGTGTGCAGTCTAAATGTCTTGTGAATGGTTCATTATAAAATCATAAAATGGTTATTTTTATTATAGTAATTTAATGGCAGTTAACTTTAATGTTGTAAATGTTACCATTGAAACAGATGGAGATGCTCTGCTTACTGGTGAAGTCAAAATGAAGGAACAGTGTGTGAATATAATGTCTTGCGTGTATTCATTGCTGCTTTGTCATATGGAAACAAAAAGTGCCACATCAGAGGAAAATGAAGTAAAATCTCAGCACATTTTCCCCCACACTGAATTCTAACATATCACAAAGATTAAGGAAACCTTTAGCAAAGATCTCACTAAACCTTAAACAAAAACGTAATTATGAGCAGTATAGCCACAAAACATTTACAGTGTATTCATCAGTGGTGTTACACATTTCTGAAGACTTTCTGAGCATTAATACATGATTTCATAAAGCACGGTCAAATTATCTTCACATTTACGGATCATACATAAAATAGATTTGATTGTGACAAGAGCATTGCATTACAGGACGTTTTGCACAAAACGTTACAAAGCAAAGGTGTAATTTTCCATGCTTTTCAATAATCAGATGAAGAACGTTAGATGAGGATGTCGCCAAGAGTAAGGCACGCAGATCCACAATCCCCAAAAGACGAGCAAGAGCAGAAATCTAGACTTTTACAGATTTTGCAACTACAGCTACATGCTTTGCCGGTGGTGCAATCAACAAATCCGTCTCCGGCAATGTCCTTTAGTCTTACACAACGAACATGTGTGCGTACTGATGAAACATGAATGCAAAATGAGCACAACATCGTAAAACCCGTTATCAGACAGCTGAGTTTCCAGATTCACAGCGTTTGCCCTCATTACAGTCCAGTGTTTTTCCAGCGCTCAGTGACCTGACGGTGAGAGAAGCCTTCGTCGGTCGGCGCCTCAGAGGAAGCCGTCTTCTCCAGAGATGTATGAGAAGCCGTTGAAGGCGTTGGAGCTGCTGGTGGCCAGGCTGGGGGTGGGGTCTGGAGTGCGGCCCACAGAGTTGGGCACCATCTCTCTGGTGAACTCTGGGTCAATGTGCTGAAGGTCTGCTGGGCCTCTCTGGAGAAACACGGCAGAACTCTTATTACACACATCGCCTTCTGTCTAACACTGAAACAGAACTGAACGTGTACATAAAGATGTACAGTTATACTCTTTGTATTGGTACTCTATAAAGACCAAAGGCCAGAGGGAGTTTGTGAGAACCTACCACATTTGGGTTATATGGAGGAGTGATTCGCTTGTGGTAGAGGTCGTCCCAGTTAATGGGGGCAAAGAACACATGATTTTTAATCTCCAACTGCAAAACCAGAACAGTTGACACATTAACAGTGACGCTTGGCCTGATAAACAGTTTCACAATGACAAAGACCTCCAGAGGGTCACTCACAAAATCAGCAATGGCTCCTATCCGGCGACGCTGGTCTTTCTGCAGGAGTCCGTACAGCAGGTGACTCGAGGCCTCCGACCTCCCCGGCGCCAGCTGCAGAGGTTTATGCAGGATCGCGTCGTACATCTCAGACACGTCCCGGCTGTAGAACGGAGGCTGTGTGCCACAGTCATCCCAAATTAAGTGTGATTATAATCCATTGCGTTTGGGCCAAGAAGATTAAAATATATGCAGTGAATGGGTGAACTTACTAAGCTGTAAAGCATCTCATAGAGCACAGCTCCGAGACACCACCAGTCCACAGTGCGGTCATACGGCTCTTTCCGTAGGATCTCAGGAGCCAGATACTAAGAGTGAGAGAAAATCACATGACTTTGTCGACCTGGAAAATGCAATACACTCACATTAAGCTGTATGTACAATATGTGACCCTGGAGCACAAAACCAGTCTTAAGTAGCACGGGGTCCTATCCTAACAAACCATACATCAATGGAAAACTTATTTATTCAGCTTTCAGATGATGCATAAATCTCAATTTCGAGAAATTTACCTTTATGACTGGTTTTGTGGTCCCGGGTCACATATAGCAGATCGCAACTGCTGTAATTTGTTATATCACCGAAAAATGTAAACTATATAATAGCCCAGTGATATGTTAAAATTTGGACACATAGTACATCCTACTTTACCTGCATACTTGCAGTACACTCATGTAAAGCTATATATATATATATATACTCTTTACCGCAAAAACGGAAGTTCAAAGACAAAATTCTAAAGATGCACACCTGTTTCTCTGTCGCATAAGGTCTATAGGGTAATAAAGACTATAACTGCATTATTGCACAGCTCTATATATAAAGTTTGATATACATGATATCATTTTTTATCAGCAAACATACATTATACTAATGTAAAGTGATATATACTATATATTAAATTTCAGCTGTCATTTTGTTATTATTTTTGTTGCAAAATGTAACTACATTATTGCCCAGCTTTTTATATAAAGTTGGATGTATACTGTAAGCAACTTTATTCGCATACATTTTCCTGTAGTTCAAACAGTAGAGCATTGCGCAAGAATGCCAAGCTCTTGGTATTTAAAGAGATAGCAAAAACTGATCAATGTGAATCAGTGTAATGGTGCAGTGTAAGTCACTTTGGATCAAAGATTCTGCCAAACGCATGAATGTTCTGAACCGCTGGATTGCTTATATTGTCTCAAAATGCAAACTATATTATCATCCAGCTTTGATCTGCTAAATGCATCTATAAGGGATGAAGATATAAGGATATTATAAACATAAACATTATGGTTTCTGTAAAGCTGCTTTGAAACGATGTGTATTGTAAAAAGTAAATCTGACTCGAATCAAGATTCGTACCTCTGGAGTGCCGCAGAAGGTTGAGGTGGTTCCTTCTGGTTCTATGCCTTCTTTACACAAGCCAAAATCTGTTAACACCACATGACCCTGACAGAGATCAGAAACCAAATTATATGCACTCTCTAATCTAACGCATTCATTAGCACACAAGTCCTGAACGGCTGCTTTACCTGGTGGTCTAATAGAATGTTTTCTGGCTTGAGATCTCTAGATGGGAGCATGAAGACATGCAGGTGAGTTCAGGCCAGCTGTGATATGAAGGGAAAGCGCTGCAGTTACTGACCTGTACACTATATTGAGAGAGTGAAGGTATCCGATGGCACTGGCCACCTCCGCCGTGTAGAAGCGAGCTCGTGCCTCTGAGAAACACCGCTCTCTCTGCAGGTGATAAAACAACTGCAGGGGGAAAGAAAGGGCCACTTAGACCTGCTTTTAACACGTTCGATTGATTATGCTGCTTGTTTCCACCAGTTTAAGAGTAAAAAAAAATCTGTTTAAACATATATAGTATATATATTCAGTATTCAAACTGAGTTCATGGTCTTATATAAGTCTTATAAACAGTGTAGGGGAGTTACTAGTTACATGTAACAGCGTTACGTAATTTAGTTTCACAATAAATGTAACTGTAATCCATTACAGTTACTAATGAAAATGTTAATGATTACAAAGGGGATTACATCTAAACACTCTCTCTCTCTCTCTCTCTCTCTCTCTCACACACACACACACATACACACACACACACACACACACTCACACACACACACACAGGTTTGTTTGTGTGAAAAGTGGGGACATTCCATAGGCGTAATGGTTTTCATACTGTACAAACCGTATTTTCTATTGCCCTACACCAACCCTACACCTAAACCT